CGTGGCGGGCGAGAATAAGAGGGTGTCTTGGGCCGGCCTTGACATGGAGCGAGGGACCTCGAGGAGATCACAGCCCTCCTAGAGGACCCCGCCATGACAGTCATTAAAAACCAGAGTCCTTATTACTTTTTTTTTTTTTGTATCCCAGCTATGAAAATGAAGAAAGGAGCCTTCATCAACCTGACAGGCCTTCTGAGAGTTGCACCAAGCTGCAAGTATTTGAGAACTGCATTGTTCTCAGGTTAGAAAATAGACCTTGGGGATATGGGTAGTGAATTGCCTGCTGTATTGACCTCTGCTAATTCCCCTCAGTCAATCAGAGCTTTGCCTCTGACTGGATCAGATCATGTGATCCCCAAACTGCAAAGTGTGTGACTAACTTTATTCATGTGAATTACCCTGTTAAACCAAAGAGACTACTCCTAGGCTGAAGGTTAATGAACGCACAACACTTGGCCTTTTTATTAAAAGGAACAGGAAACAACAAAGTCTGAAAGGAAAGAGGAGGCTGTCTGCACCATAATGCTCATTTTAGTGCCCATGGCAACAGTGAAAAACAAGACCCCATCTGCTTGTCCCAGGTGATATTATCTGCGAGTCAGCTGGAGTCAGCCAGAAAAGCCAAACAGGCACAGGGCTTATTTAATATTGGAGCCCGTTACTATGGATAGATTGCTTTTTCTTTCACAGGACATACGATATGTTACTAGAGCTGTGAAGTCTAATCTGATGATTTATGCTGGTTCCACTGAGAAGAAAATGTATAGAAACCTTAAGATATGCTGACCATAAAAACTACACGTTAACCTTTCCCTGAAAAATCCGGGTTTCTAACTGGCAAGCTTGCTCACCTAGGACTTGTATCATACAGAGCCAAAGAATGCTCGGATAATGTATGTCTGTCCAGTCTGCATTTGTCATGCCGTGCATGTAGGCAGCACCTTTGGCATCTCCATTTATTTGCACACAGTCCTGCATAAGCCGGTCCTATTTGTGCACTCCATGCCTTCTCCTTCCTGAAAATGGCAGAATTCACACTTGCCAAAACTCTTTTGTGTTTAATTTACATAAAATGCAGTGTTTGTGTGCATCCAAATATAGTCATTTTGCCCTAAGACCCTGAACCAGTCATGACCTTAAGCATATGAACACTCCCACTGACTGAAGGTCTGGTCCAGCTCTCACTTACAGAGACCATGGGCTGAAAGCACAGCCCTAACTGACCATACTTTGCATGATGCTTTTTGACAGAGCTGCCTGGCACAAGTTGACGTACATCTATAACACTAATGCTGACATGGATGCCAAAGTAAAGGAAATTATAAGCAGGATAGAAGAAGAGGGTAGAGAATATCTTTGGAAGGCAATTGCTCCAGAAGTCAAGGTATTTGGTACCAATATTAACATCTCATTTTATCCTTGGGCAAGTGCTCATTTTATTTCCTATATCCTCATCCTGGAGATGATATATAGCTTTGTCTGTGGGGATCAATTAATTGATTTGGCTGTTAGAACTGGATCAAAAAGCTCTGTTCAATCTTTCTCATGCTGTTTTTTGGAGCTGTCATCTTTACTGTTCTTACTCAAATCAGTACCAGTTGCTGACCCCATGAACTCAAATCCCAGGCTCTGAAGCAAAGAAGCACGTTGTTAATTTCTAGTGACCATGAATTTCTGAATGGGAAGTGGTGATTCTCAAAGCCCATATGTCTTGGTCAGATCTTGGTTAATTTATGTAGAGAGAAGGTGGATGAGCAGTGTCCATCCTCCATGTCTTGCAACACAAAACATGCAATTGCATTAAAAAGTTAGAAACGCAAAATTGATAAAAGGAATATACAATTTGTTTTAAGGCTCCATGTCCAAAAAATTCACTGGGACCAAAAGTTATCAAGATTGGAAAAGGGACTGGACGCTTATGTGGATAATGATAGCTTCGAACATTATAACAGTTAAAGCCAACAGCAATTATGGAAGGAATGTTAAACCTTATGCTTCAGGTTTTAAATTAATCTCTGGCTGTTAGAGGTCAGGATGAGATGTAGCATGGGAGACAGATTACCACCTCTCTGTCTACTTCATGATTCTTATACTTCTCTTCTGAAGCATCTGTTACTGGCCACTCTTTGAGACAGGACACCAGAGTAGATGGAGTTGAGTCTGATGCAGTGCAACAGTTCCTGTGCTCCGCGTGGGTATGTTCTGCACAGCATCGTGGTTACAGTTATCACAGCACCAAGAGGCTACCTGTATTCCAAAGCCTTAGGGATTCTGATGGTAGGGGCTTAAACTCGATTAGTTTGTTTTGTATCTTTGACACCCCTGATGTATGCCTATGTGCTCTGTGATGTCTCGGATGGACTCCTATTGACTTTGGTTATTTCCTTTTTCTCAGGCAACACTGAAGAAACACTTCAGAAGTCATGATTCTCATCTTACCAAATTTCTAGTACCTTTAAAGTCAAACTTGTTAGCATTTGAGAAGAAAGGAACAGATAGTTATGAGGTAAGAAAAAAGGAAGTGATTATTGAGAAAACCACCACAAAATATGCTGCTGGAATTTTGGATTGCCAAATATTTCCAAGTTAATCCACACTACCAACAGGCAGTGATTTGAATGAATTGATGGTTGCAGTCCAATTCCTAATGCATATCACAGATACTACTCAATTTAAAAACCTTGTTGTAATTGCAACAGAAAATACAAGAAGTGAATGAGTATGAAGTCTGCATGGAAGCAGAACAGCTATTTCTCTCAGATAGATACCTATCTATCCCCACTTCCATAATCTGTGAAAAACCTGTGCATTTTTAATGCATTTATCTTCACACCCTGATGCGAAGATAAATGCATTACACCCATTTTACAGTTGGGGAGTTGAGATACACTGAAGCTAAGGCTCAGACTCACAAAAGAACTTGAGCATCTAAATTCTGTGATCTTTAAACCCCAATCTAATGCTTCAGGAGGCTAAGCTTTTACCTGTATAATTCCCTAGGCTCCTGAGGGTCTGCTGCTGCTCAGAGCAGCCTCCATCAATTCTGAGCAGCTTGGTCCTTGTCTCACTTCTTAGCCTGACTAGGCTCCTCAAATTAGGCATTCCTCTGCTTGTGTCCCCAGGGGTTCTGTCTAGAAAGTATGCTTAGAGCATACCCAGCATGCATCATCATTACTGAGCTCTGTCCAAAACAAAGTGGCTATGCCACTAATTCAAAAAGAGGACTGGAAGAGTCACCCCATGTACACGCTAGCTTAATGGCTAGAGCTTTCACACAAGTTGTAGGATTCATGGATTCACTCCTCGTCATGCCTGAAGGTATTCAAACTACCCAAGGACATTCTTCACCTCTCCTGTTGAAGCTGAACAGAGGTATAGATGCCTCTAGTCAGTCAGTGGTTAAGCCAGTCTCTTGGGAGGCGGGAGAAGTAATTTTGAATTTTACTGTGTGAGCACTCCAGTTGGCAGGCTGATGTGCAAAAGATTATAATCGCCATTGGCTTTCACATGAAAAGCTTGAATCCTCCTCTGTTCTTCTGAAAGAAATACCTTGGATGCTTCACTCTAGGAGAGGGCTCCAGGCAGTAACTCCAGATTTGACATGGGTGTCCCCTACAGGCTGGAGCTTAGGTGCCTTAGCTCCGAGGCCCAGGTGCCATGCTCAGTCCAGCATTTTCTAGTCTGGAGGCTAAAACAAGCAACTTCCTGCTCTGAGGAGCCTCCCCAGCCCTTCTGTAGGGGGCTCAGGTATCACACTCAGGGCTATAGATCCCATTCTGAGAGGCAGGCACCTAAGAGATGGGCATTGTGACAACTCTTCCCAACTCCCTCTATGAATCCAGCCTTAGTGACATGCCCAAGATCACACAGGGTGTGTAACAGGTAGGGAAGGGAACCTAGGTCCCCAAGGAATAGGTTAGTTCCCTTATTACTGAGACATCTTGCTTCTCAGTGCTGGGGTACTGCAGAGAGCTTGCTTTACTGTTGCCTGGGCTGTCAATGCTCTATGGATAAACAGCAGGCCTGTGCAAAGCGGCTAGTATTTGCTTCAGATTCGGATTCAGCTGATTCGGGGGACAGTGATTCGATTCAGTGATTCAAATCACTATCCTGATTTGATTTGGCCAAATCAGCCAGGCCAGGCCTATCCCCTGCCCCTCTCCCAGCCCAGCGATGGCCACCCCACTTGCCCCAACTCCCAGGACTTGGGTGGGGAGAAGCCCTGGCTCAGCAGGTGCTGCCAGGTGGGGGGCAATCTCTGCTGCCCCCCACCATGTGGGAGGTGCTGCATGAGCCCACGAAGCCCCAAGGCTGCACCAGGAGCAGTGAGTCCCAGGGTTTTTTTGGGGGTTTTTTTTGGTTAAAGGACCAGAGCCCCAGCAGGCGGGGCAGCCATGGGGGTGCTGGTAGGATTGGGGGGGTGGGCGTTGACGGCACTCGTGCAGAGCCCCCCAATGCAGTGTGGGGCAGTGGGGATCGCCTCCCTCCCGGCAGCACCCGGTAATCACCGGGGCTTTTTTTTAAGTA